ACACATATCTTGTTTGGGAGACCACTTCATGTACGGTGTAGAGGCTTGACCACTGCACTATATACCTGAAGCTGACTTTGAATAGTATTGTATGTCAACACTAATTGAATATATATATAATTACAGGATGCGGAGTGTAGTGTGGGGAGAGGAGTCAATGAAATTCTAATAGATATGTGTGATATGGGGGTTGGGGCAGTGGATTGGGGGAGGGAGTGTTGTCACTTTGTGAGGGGTGAAAAGTATAACTATTGCATTATTTTGTACACCTGGAACTAATAAAAAAAATCATGGGCAATATTCGAAGAAATGAAAAAATAAGATCTGTATCTCCATTTTATGTACAGAAAATAAAAGAGAGAGAGAGAGAGAGAGAAGAAAGAAGGAGGGAAGAAAGGGCAATAGGGAGGGAGGAAGACACCCCTTGGGAGTTGCACATGTCAAACAGCAAGCTCTGACCACCCATCTTAAGTAGGATGCTCAGAGAAAACAAATCAACTTCACTATTTACCATTCCTAAGGATAATTAAGAAGGAAAATGTGACTTGGGGACAGAGGGAGGAGAGAATCTCTAACTCCCACAACTAAACAGAAATGACTTTTGAATTGTCTGACAATTAAATATTATCAGTGTTACTACTACATTCCAATAATGAAACCAATGGAAAGCTGATAGTGTATCTTTCCTAGATTCCCAAGCAGATCATAACCAGACGTAATCTTTATTCATTGAGCACTTACTAGGTGTTTGTAGCTCAGCAACCAATAAACTAATTCAGATCAACTTAGCCCCAGGGGGATAAAGTTTGAGCCAGTGCATTACAAAGCTTGAATTAAATGCGTTTAGAAGGAAGGAACAAGCAAGCCACCTCAAAGGGAAGGAAAAAGGCACTGGCCCACAGCCTGGGAGAGACATCTCTCCATCTCCCCTCCAAGGAAGTCTTATGTGTGTACTCAGGAGCTGCTGAAGGGAGCCTGAGGAATGGTGGGGGAATAAGAGGCTTTTTGGAGGCCCTCTGACCCCAGTCACCCCACTGGAAATGAGTGAAGAGGCTGCTGGATGGCAGACAAGCAGGAGTGCCCTTTAGAAGTCATAGAGATTAGCTGGGGCGTATCCAAACCTCTGCAGGAGGCACATCTCTCCTGGCCCTCAGGAGACCTCAGTGCTCCTCTGGCATCAAATAAGCCAAATGCAAAAGGGACATCAACTTGGTTTTGTGAATCCAGGGCCCCAGAGTGGGAATCTGGACACCATCATGTTCACCAGTGCTCCCAGTGACAAGTTTTTGAAGAACATGTTTAGAAAAACGAAAAGGGAGAAAAAAAACCACAAAGCAGAATAATGGATAGATTAAGCCTCACTTATGCTTGGATCTTTAACTTTGGGACAATTTTTTGTCCCTCAAATTTGACCAAAAACTCCTTCTTTCTCTAAAAAATGTGAATTCAGAGGAAAATAGGTAGTATCTGCTCTTCAATAAAGGTAAATCCAGGAGATTCGAAGATTGAGAGCTCCCTTTCTCAGGAGCCTGAAGGAAGTAAAGTAGCAACTTTGGTGGTAAAAGAAAGAGAAAGGAAGTCCCCATCAGTGCAGACCACCTCTGCTTTGTTAAGGTCTAATGATGCGGAGGAAAAAAAGCACTGGCTTTAAGTCCAGCACATTTGCCTCGGACTCCTGAGTTTGGTATGTACAAGCTATATGACTCTGAACAAGTTATTTAACCTCTCTGAGCATCAATTTTCACATCCTAAAATGAGCCTGATAATGATTCCTTCATAGAGCTATTTGAGCATTAAATGTGATCGATTATATAAACGCTAGCACAATACCTAGCACAGTCAAAGTTAGTTCCTTCTACTTTTCCCTCTTTCAACAACCCAATTCTCTATATAAAACAGTAGATAAAATCTTCACTATTTCACACTTATAGAAACCCATTTCCAGTGAGGGGAAGTCACTTTCCCAAACCTCACTCAGATAGAAAGAGTACAGGTCATAACCCAGGTTTCCCTGATGCAATGGTTAGACATTTTTGTTTGATTGGTACCATAGAGATGACCCAATCCTGAGTTTCAGAAAGTGCCAATAGTGGCCATGGCAGAACGGAGACCTCAGAATCAGATACTAGTATACCAGGGGCCACCTTTTACAAAGGTGTCCATCAGGGAGACTATAGCTGTAACTGCCCCTCAAATTGGTTAAAACTCACCCAGGAAACATGTGGGATTTTAGGGGTTTGGAGGGTGGGGTGGTACTCGTAGTTTTAACTAATAGTGTAACTAAAAGCTCTCTTATCTTTTAAATTGGTTGTGCCAAACACATACCCAAGTATAAGACAATTGTCTCTGGAATGGCTGAAATACGGAGAAGATGCCCTTGATTCAGTAATAACAACAACAACAAGAATTTTGTTTTCAATTCACCCGCTTTCTGCCAGCACATGTGGCACGAGCAGGAACATAACTTCAAATACTGGGCACTGCCTTCTCTCTACCTGACTCTCCAATCAGGTAGGAAGGTTCTCTGTAAAAGGCCAGATTGTGCTAAATCTTGTTTGTTTCTTCCCAGAAGTGGTTGAATTTCTACTCATATTTGAATTGCCTTATTACTATTACCTAAATTTTTATAATTTTAGAACTAGTGCTCTCATTTTATAGATGAAGACTCTGAGGTAGGCATGAAATAACTTGCCCAAAGTCATGGACCTAACTTGGCCGGCTCCTGATCCAGTGTTCACTGGGTGATCCAGGATTTAGGGAACCTGTGTGGATGGCAGAAACAATCTTCTTGCATAACCATTTTTATGAATATGTCACTAGCTGTGCACAAATCCTATGATGAAGTCACTCAAGGTCAAGTGTGATAAGAACACAATTATTATCACGAATATTCCATTCAACATCCTTAAAGTAAATAAATACATAAAATGCCAAGAAGCCCTTGAAAGCACTATTACTTTTTAAACTCAGAGATTTCTTTATAGATCCCCAAGGCAGTCCACTATAATTATTATGGGAATGGAAAAGCACTATAAATAAATTCTTTGGTGTATTTCATTATTTCTCGTAAGTTTTATTCAACTATAATCTACTAGGCATCTACTATGTGCCAGGTATATGCTAAGTGCTAAGAATAAAAAGATGAACAGTCATAGCCTCTGTGCTCAAGAAGTTCACTGTCTAGGGAGGGGTAAAAACAGGTATTACATAAACTAGATCTAAGACTTAAATGTAAGACCTAAAACTATAAAACTCTTAGAAGAAACCACAGGAGAAAACTTTCATGACATTGTATTTGGCCATGATTTCTTGGATATCCAAAGCCAAAAAAAAAAAAAGATAAATTGGACTACATCAAAATTAAAAATTTCTGGCTGGCCAAGTGGCTTAGTTGGTTAAGAGCTTGCTCATGAGTGCGAGCTCTGAGCAACAGGGTCGCCAGTTCAATTCCAGGCTCTGAGCTGAGCTGCCGCTGAGCTGCCAACAGATGGCAGGATGGCTCAGCTAAAATAAATAATTAAGTAAATAAATAAATAAAAATAAAAACTTCTGTGTGTTAAAGGACATAATTAGCAGGGTAAAAAAGCAACCCACTGAATAGAAGAAAATATTTGCAAATCATATATCTGATAAAGGATCCAGAACATATAAAGAATTCTTACAACTCAACAACAACAAAACAAATTCAATTTAAAAATGAGCAAAGAACTTGAAAAGACATTTCTTCAAAGAAGACACACAAATGGCCAATCATCACATGAAACACTCAACATCATTAATCATCAGTAAAATGAAATCAAACTTACAATTAAGTACTACTTCACACCCATTAGGATGATTACTATAAAAAAAATAAAAACTATGTGTTGGAGATGTGGAGAAATTAGAACCCTTATGCACTGTTAGTGGAATGTAAAACAGTACAGCCAGTGTGGAAAGTAGTGTGGTGGTACCTTAAACACTTCAAAACAAAACAACCACACTTCAATCTCACTTCTGGGTACATATCCAAAAAAAATAAGGGCAGGGTCTTAAGCAGATATTTGTACACTCATAGCCATAGCAGAAGTATTCACAATAGCCAAAAGGTGGAAGTAACCCAAGTGTCCATCAACAGATGAATGGATAAATAAAATGTGGTCCATACATACAATGGGAATTCTGGTATATGCTACAATATGGATGAAACTTGAGGATATTATGCTAACCGAAATTAGCCAGTCACAAAACAACAAACACTGTGTGATTCCACTTATATGAGGTATCTAGAGCAGTCAAATTCATAAAGACAAAAAGTAGAATGGCAGTTGCCAGGGGCTGAGGAAGAGAGGAAAGAGGAGTTGTTGTTTAATGGATACAGAGCTTCCGTTTTGCAAGAAAAGAGCTCTGTGGATTGATGAAGGTGATGGTAGCAAAACAGTATTTATGTAATTAATGGCACTGAACTGTGTACTTAGAATGGTTAATATAGTTATTTTTATGTTATGTGTATTTTACCAAAATTTAAAAAAAAAAATACAAGCAGGCAATCAACATCATCAATAAAGTCACCAGGAGCCAACTTAGGTCTCTGCTGCCCCAGGAAACATTGCAAGGAACCAGGTTAGGCAAGGCCCTGACAAAAATCACTCACAAAGAAATGTTAAGATTCTGTGTGAAATTGTGGTAAACTGAGAGAAGATGGAAAGCATTATTGAAGAAAGCTGACAAACTACAGAGCCCTATTGAATCTGTCTTGCAGACCATAAGCCTCACAAGAAGTTTATAAAACAAATAATGTTAAATTTCTCCATTAATCGTTAGAAATCGCTTTAAGTGCCATCTTCATAGAATAGACATGTTAGAGCAGACTAAAACGTTCTATATCATGAACTTTTGCTTCTGGTCATAAGGGGTTTTGCTTCATGTCTTCAGACAGGGGCAGTGGGTACAGAGATGGCCTTTGTACTTATTTGGTACGTTTTGGAAATAAAATATTATCCTAGGTGGTAAGGACTTACCAGTTTATTTCATCTAAGAAATACTCTAGATCTTGGTTCCTGTGAAGTAGGGAAAATTTCCTGGAGAACCACCACAGTCTTGGGAAGATGAGAACAGTTGGATGTGAAACACCAGCGTCTTTATTGAGAGGGAATACAAGAAACACAAATTACCTGAGGTAAAGGTACACAATATCCCCATAGTCCCAACATTTATATACTTCATCCAACGTATGGGTGCACTTAAAAAACCACGCCTCCAACCAGTGTGTTTAACAGGCTCCCTTTCATGTCTTCTTTAGGCTAAGCTAGGCTGCGCTCAGCTAGGGGTACCTTGAAATAAAATGCAGTCCCTGTACTTGATCACTTTACATTCTAGAGAGTGAGAACACATTAAAGTATGCGTTACATTATCATAATATAGGAAATATTGCGCTTTTGTCTGCATAAACTAAAGGAAGCACAGGCACACCTTCCCTCATGCCACTTTCACACGAGAAAGCTAAAGCTCAGAGAAACAAAAAGTTAATGAAGGAGGCCATTTCATGCATTTTGCTTCATGAGGTGGCTGTCTCAAATCTATGTTCCTTGGTGCCCAGTGTCCCTCTCACTAGATGCCTAGTCTCTGGGCTTGATAGGAACCCAAAGCTGAGACTGAGAGCTCAGCATTCCATCCCTATCCAAGCCCATTTGTCTCCCAAAGAGGAGCACTCCCTGTCCCATGGCCACAGAATGTGCAGCCAGCCATAGCTTTGATCAGAAAGTCAAGCAGACGGTGAGTGCAAATGGAAAATACATTATCACCACTATCCAACCTGCAATGTTGGCAGCACTGTTTTCACAAATAAATATGACACATTGTGATGATCCCATAGCTGACAGACCTCACTGCCTGACATGCTGGATCAGTCTAAATCTCAACCTGTTTCAGACACTTGAACAAATGAACACATGTTCCTTGACGATACAAAAGTGTGTGTGTGTGTGTGTGTGTGTGTGTGCGCGCGCGCGCGCGCACTTTGAAGCCTCCATGCAAATGCATGATCATCAATTAAATTCTTGCCAGACTTCCACTCACCTATGAGAGGGAGGCATCATCAGTCTGTTCTTGGAGCACCAGCATTGGCTATTTTTAAAAGTCAGCTTCTCACCATGGTCAGTGGAACATATTTAAATTTCAATGAAGAGACTTCCCTACATTTTGTACTAGATCCATCTACCAGGCTGACTGAAGCTTTTAGAACCAGCATGAACCAAATGGCCTTCCAACATTATTTTTGAAGGTCTGGATCTGAGTCATTTGTATACAAAAGTCTTCATAAAATAGCAATTTGGGTAACAGGCTCCAGGCTGAATCCAAGCTTTCAAGTCCATCTTTGCCTACAATTGAGAAGACAAGCACAATATTATAGGGTTCCACAAAAATATCACAGCATTTATCTATATGTGTAGCATCAACCACATGAAGTGTCCCTGTCAAGCTGTCACTACAATGATAGTTCGTCACGACTACCTTCCTCCCCCAATTATTTTTCTTTTTTCTATCACACCCATTATTTCTCTCTTAGCACAGGCATACAGCGAGCTTTGTGACTCAGCCAGCAGAGGGTACTATGCAATAATCCAATTCACAGCAAATTTAGAGCTAAAAAAGATTCAGACGAATCAAAATGGGCCTTAGTTTTATTATATGCCGGGAGCCACAGCCAGAAGGAGTAGCCCCATGAGGTGGAAGAGATGGAGCCAGAACTGCACTGGTAGACAGGAAGAAGACAGGGAGACTGAGGAAGAAGTCAGGCAGCCATGTCAGTCTAGTATCAGAAGTCCACTGGGTGGGGCAAACATAGGTTCAAAACTGGGGAGATATTAAAATTAAGGAGGTCAACCCAGCACTCCCACTCCTCAGTATTTACCCTAGAGAAGAGAAAACTTATATTCACACATGGATATTCATTGCAGCTCTATTCATAATCACCCTGAACTGGAGACAATCCAAATGTCTTTCTACCTAATAGATAAACCAAATGTGATATATCCATATCATGGAAAACCACTCAGCAATAAAAAAAGAACTATTGATTCATATGACAACATGGATGAACCTCAAAGGCATTATGTTGAGTGAAAGAAGCCATTCTCAAAAAAATTCCATTCACATGATTCCATTTATGTAACATTTTCAGCATCTCAGCATTGCCAAGTACTGGGGGTGAAGACAGGGTATGACTACAAAGGAATGGCATGAAAAAAATTTTTGGAGTTGATGAAACTGTTCTCTACTCTGCTTTTGGTGATAATTACATAAATCCATACATGTATTAAAATTCATAAAACTGCACACTCTGACAAGAGAGTTTCACAGTATGTTAACTAGAAAAATAAAATGTTTAAAAGAAAAAAACACTGCATAAAGGATGAAAGAGATATAGTACCTGCTATTTTTTAATGTTCTTACAATAGAAACATTATTTTTATTTTTATTAAAGTTTATTTGGGTAACAATTGTTAGTAAAGTTACATAGAGTTCAGGTGTACAATTCTAGAAACATAATTTGTTGATGAAAATACACTAGTGTGGAGAAAATAGGATTTAAAACACACATACAAAATATCAGTTTAAACCCTACGGTGGGTTTAATCTGAAGAGAAAACTTGTTTTTTTAAACAGACTGGTTTTGTAGTTCAGATATGAGTCATATTTTTAAAAGAGAAAAATACAATAAAAGTGCTTGCTATAAATGTAAAAAAAGAAAAAAAATGAAAGAGATACAACCTAAGGGGCTGGATGGGATAAGCAAATAAAGAGTTCATGGTCATCATCAGGAACACACAGTTGAGATAAAGCATAGAAGGCCAGAGTAGAGCTAAGCCAAGACAGGCTGACAGGAACCAGGTGAGAAGATAAGGCTCCCCATAGCCAATTCCTTGATGTTGTGTTTTGCTGAATAGCAATAGCTCAAGCTGAAGTGACCAGAAGTAGTGGAGCCACGTAGTGTTGATTGAGCAAGGAGGCTGCAGACGCAATATTCACACCTCCCTGGAAGCTCTGCTCACCTTTAGGAACCAACATTCATGGTAGTAGAGAGGGGCCTCCAGTTATTTCTTCACCTGTTTGCTGGTAAGGAGGGGCTCATTAGCTTTGGGCAGGGATTTAGCTGATAGGGCAAGTGACAAACAAAAACTAGATCAATCTAATCTAACCCTTTCATTTACAGATGAAGAACCTGGGACAGCAGAGTAATATGAGTCCCCACAAATCACATAGCCTGTGAATAACTTCAGAGGTACTGAGTCCCACCAGCCCTGGACCCTTCCCGCCATGCCTTGTACCACTCCCTCATCGGTTCTCCAGCCTAGGATGGTATTTCTTCTCCTCTGTCCTGGGTGGGTGAGGCTACATTTTCCATTTGAAAGATAGCAAGACAAGGGTAACCCCATTTTAATACATTGAAAAATTTACTATCTCCCTTAACCTTTTATTTGTTGTTGCTGTTCTTTTCTCAGATGAATAGCTCATTAATTCCTGAATTTGATTCCTGTGTCAGCCTTTTCTTATTCATGTCATTATATCTAATGATTGGACTGGATTATTTTTTCTAAATAGTCATAGTTCTTAACTATCAAATCACTTCTCTGTCCTATTCATGTTTTTCATTTCCATCTAACTTTGGAGAACTTGGAAGAAAGAGGACTGTCTCACACTTTGCATATATGTCTCTCTTGGATTGAATGGTATGTGACAAAAGCCCTGGTCAAGAAGTAGAGATCCGCTGGTCTAGATTTGCTGATAACTGTATATGAGTAACTCACTTTAAATAACTCACCTTCTCTGAGCCTTCACTTCCTCCTCTACAAATTGAGTTGGTTGGATTAGGAAATCTTTAAGGTACTTTCTAGTCCTAAACTGTTACATTCTGTGTTAAGTCTTATGTGTACATGGCAAATACTTAAAATGATACCAAAAAAAAAAACCCTGATTAGTTTCAGTTTAATTCAACAAATACTTATTGAGAATCTACTCTATTTTCAGGATGCACACTAGCCAGGACATATTTAATAATATTTAAGAAATGAACTCTGCCTTTAAGGACACCCAACCTAATGGATCAGAACAAGAGTCTAGATTGAGATGATCTAGAGTAAAGACACACTCCTCCATTTGGAGCCACTTAGGTCATTTGTTTAACCTCTGAACCTGTTTTTTTAATCTATAAATTGTGAATAAAAATGGCTTCTTCTAGAAGTGAAGAATGAGGGTTTATTAGCTTTTTGGGGTTTTTTTATTAAGTCATTTATGTTACTGTCCTGTCCTCTTGAAATAGCATTTTTCTTTCTCACCCCATATTTCTTTGCAAATAATCTTTATTTTTAACCTCCTCATCTTTTGATGTTGAATTTTCTATTAATGCTCTGAGATGAAACTCAAGTTCCACTTCTCCACGAAGACTTACCTGTCTGCTGCAGCCAACACCAATCTCCCTTACTTCTGTTTTTCTGTTGCATTTTTAAAAATATTTATATGGTATTTTCTACTGCTTCATAATTGACTTTTAAGTTCTCCTGTAGTCCAGCTTCTTATGTTACCAACTGCCTACAAGGACCTCAAATTCTGTATGTATCAAATAGAATTCATAATCTTGTCAAAAGACCCTGCTCCTCTTCTTGGGCTCATTTCAGTTAAAAGTTTCTCAGTCATTAGCACTAGATACCTAAGTATTTACCATATTTCCTCTCCACCACACCCTCCTGCAAGTCATGTTATTAATTCATCCCTTAAATCATCCTTTCTCATCTTCATTGTCTCAGCATTACTTGAACATCTCTTGACTAGATTAATGTAATATAGCAGAGGGCAGGATGTATCAGTATTACCTAGCAAGCTTTTTCAAAATATCCTTATTTACCTTCCCATCACCCCGTTTCACACCAGAAATTTAGTTGAGGGGAAAGACAAAGGATATAGGGGGAAACCAGGCTTATGTATGTTTGCAAAAGCTTCCCAGGTTATTCTGATACATTGTCCATCACTGCTGGGAACCATTGTTTTAACCTTTCTCTTGTCCAATCCTTTCCCCACTCTACTGCCCAAATTAGTTTTCAAAACCTCCAGTAATGATGGCTCCTTACTGCCTTTCAGAAACAAGCAAAATACTGTAGCCTGGCTTTTATATTCGGGCTTACGCCCACTTTCATGACCTGGATTCCCCCAATTCCTTCCATGTCCCATAGATTTCAGCCGAACCAAACTAGGCTTTATTCCCTAAACACATCACACACTTTCATAACCCAATACCTTGATTCATGCCATCTCATCTTCTAGGAATTCCCTTCTGTTCCCTTACTATCCCCACCTAGAAAATTCCACATAACTATCCATGCTCACACCAATGCCACCTCCTCCATGAAGTCTTCACCAATTCCTACTCTCTTCCAGGAAGAATTAGTTGTTCCCTCTTCTACACCTATATATAATTCTATTCATAGTGCTCATCTCTGAACAACATCTCTGGTAGGCGACTTTTCTTGGTGCCCTCCAAAAGGATATAGTCCCTCATTTGGTCTCCTAAATATTTTTTGTACTTCTGTTATAGTTATACCCTTTTCTACTCTGTGTGTGTGTGTGTGTGTGTGTGTGTGTGTGTGTGTGTGTGTGTGTGTGTGGTGTTTCATAACTTCTTTATCTACTAAATTAGACCATGATCTGCTCAAAGAAAGATACCATCTTATGTTTCTTTGAATCCTCATTACCAGGCAAATGTCTGGAATTTTAGTGGGAACTAAATGAATAATTCTTCACTCAAGATTTAGATTAGATATTATCTCCTCAGGAAGCTTTTACCAGCATTAAGAAGTGACAGTGCCTTGCTTCTGTCACCACAGCACATTGCACATACATTTCACTTTTATTGAAATTATCTGCTTATGAGTCCATAACCTCCATAACCTTCACTAAAACTATAAGTTCCTTAGGGATAAAAAACCATGTTTTTATTTTTGTTTTACCTGAGGCATACTGCACAATGCCTGGCAAATAGCTCCACTAACCAATGTTCTGGAACAACTCAACTGAATTTACTGTCATTTCTTTCGAGAAGATACGCTCTTCAAGGACCCTCACTGCATCTTTTACCACTCTCATATTTTCAACATCTCCTCCAGCCCTGAAATGGGAGCAACTATTCAAGCCTTCAACAGATATTTGTCAATCAACAAATTCTTATTGAATATTCCTGAACAAGTTTATGTCTGCCTTAAGAGGATGCAGAATCACTCCTAACTATAGCCTTAGTCTTTCAGTGGCTTTATTCCAACTCTATTTGTTATCCTGTATATATCATGCTATTTCAGTATAATTAGCGAAGTCACTAGAAAAGTCAAAT